CTCCTCGTAGCCCAAGCTCGCGGGGCCCAAAGCCGCGGTCCATGACCGAGAGCGCCAAGGAAGCCTGGTTCGGGTGTGCGCTGGCCTGCCGCGAACGAGGTCTGTCTTTTGTTGACTCCCTCACTCTGCTTTGGGCCCCCGCATCTTTTTCTTGATCCCTCCTCACTCGTTTCATTGCCTTCGCTCTCTCTCTCTCTCTCTCTCTCTCTCGCTCGCTCGCTCCCCTCATCTCTTGCTTCCCCCCCCGCTCTTTAACCCCTTGACCTCGGTTCTTCGATTCCTCTCATCTCCTTCCCTACCCCCATCCCCTCTTCTCTGATCCCCCTGTGCTGCGACAACTCACAGCCCCCAAACCCTCAGTATCCGTAATCCCTTCCCCCAATGTCCCTACACAACTTTACCAGACTGGGTTGAAACGAAGGCCCATAGATTGCACCCCATAAATTGCCGATAAGAATCTGCGAGACACCACAAAATCCCATTAGCAACCCTATTCAAAGCATGAAGGCCTTAAGTGATATTAAGCAACCCTATGTCGAAAGCCCGAACACTACAGCCATTACCGTAAGACCTTCATAGAAGCCAGCTCTAGAGCAGTTCAGAGGAACGCTACTGCAAGTGGTTGTGGTCGTGGTAGTGGTGGTTGTCGAAGTAGTAGTAGTAGTAGTAGTAGTAGTAGTAGTTGTAGTAGTAGTAGTAGTAGCAGTAGGAGTAGGAGTAGGAGTAGGAGTGGTAGTGGTAGTGGTAGCGGCAGCAGCAGCAGCAGCAGCGGCAGCAGCAGCAGCAGCAGCAGCAGCAGCCGGGGTGAAACGAGGGGGGAGGTCAACTTGAAGCGGGCGGGGGGAGCCACAAAGACAAGGAACCGGGTCAAAAGAAAAGCTGCGCCCGATCTCGCATTCGAGAGAATGTGCGTTAGCAGTGTCCCGGGCCGCAAGGACGACATGGACTTCGGCAGAAAGGCCCGGCTGGAAAGACGATTAAGCTGGCAGCGGATGTGGCGCATCAGCTAGATTTGAGGACTCAGCAAACATGGGATCGGAAGCATTGGGACTGCCTGCGCAGAGGTCACAAGAGCTGAAGCGACTCTTGTCGGGCCCCATCTCGAAAGTGGCACCGACTTCGCAAAGGTCAAGGGTTTCCCACCTCTCAGTGACCCTTTTAGCAGGCAGAGGAGGCGGTGCGGCGAGAGTGCGGAAGAGCTGCTGCAGAGGTCGGAGCCGCAGCTTATGCAAACTCTGTTGTCACATAGTGTAGACATGTAGCCTGCAGCCTGATCTTCCCTAGCTGGTAGTATCCAGTAGTGTTGCCGATGCAATAAGAGAACGGGATATTCTGCCCTGAATTAAGGGCGGAATGCCTTCAAGTGTTCGTCAGGAGTGAAGATTCAGCGGGCAGTATGTTGAAGGTGTCGGTATACCAAGCGTCTCCCCACTGCCGACAGGAGTTGCGCAAGGCTCAAGCCAGCTGCCCAGAATATTTGCTGGTGTGAGGATGCAAAGGGCGAGTGGTCAGCTAGATTCGCAACATTACCAGTCCGCAGACCTGCAGCTTCAGAAACTTAGCAACGGGGCATGTCGACCTTCCGATGCTGCTCCCACACAAAGTCACAGCGTCCGGCAAGATAATGCTTACCACACGAAAGTCGACTGTTCGCCGTCCAATTGCCCAGCTTCTAGCACCCAGGCATCTTTCAATGCACAGCTCGAGGACCGGGCTAAGTCTTGTATGTGAGAACGATAGAGCTGGCTTGGACATCTGGGTTCAGGCTGTGTTTGGGCAGGCGGGCATCGAAATGGGGGCCGAGAGATTTGCATACCGGTCCGTCATTGAGCCTGAAGGCCGAGAGTTTGCTGTCAATGTGGGAGCGGCAGGAGCTTCGGACCTCCAAAAAAGCACTGGAAGGCCCGGGGATACTGAGGAAAAGAAACGGACGAGACGCGTTTGTGTTTGGGAACCGCTCACCCTTCCTTCCCTCTAATTTGAGAGCGTCCTTTGCATTCTTCAAGAACCGTGAGAAGATTAACAGTCCCCTTGAGCCGTAGCCTAAGATCCTGAATTGGCCCCTAATCCCCTAACTTTGAAGCCCTTACGCAAGCTTCCAAGCTACTCCATTGCTGACTGATAGTTAGTACCAGTCGTCGTGCTACTCCTACTCACTGACAGTTGCCAGCAATAGCGCTACTTTCTTACTCCTCCTGACTCCTCCTACTACCGGCCGCCAGATTCTACTGTTGCTCCCAATAGTATCGTTGGTGTTGTCCGAAGTACTCTGATAGTTTTTACTTAGTGGTCGCACTGCTTACGAGCAACGCCAGTGGGCCTCATACCACGGAGTATCAATCACGAAGCCCAAACAGTTCCCTGCCGAACCTTAGTTGCAATAATGTATGTGTATGCAGGCATGCATCTGTGTGCATATATATGTATATATATATATATTTATTTATTTATCTATTTATTTATTTATTTATATTTATGTTTACATTATATGTATACAGGAATAAAAGTACACATACACACACACACATGCATACGTAGATACAAGGGGAGGAAGAAGAAAGAGCAGTGATAAGTTGAACAGCAGCAATATGAATGATCATGATGATGACGATGACAAGAATGATAACGGTGTCATCATACTAACTGCAAAGTCCATCATAGTAGCAATTTATTTTTTAGAGGTAGGGGCCTTGTATTTTGGAGGAAGCCTTTCTCGTTCGGTATAAATCGATGATATCGAAGTACGTCCTTGGCCCTGGTTGGTGTATTGCACCGTGATTGTACTAGTAAGTGTGGCGCGCCCAGCGTTTTCTTCAGGCCATCCCTGTCAGCCATGGCATGCCACGATGTAGACTGTGGTAAGCGGGCATTGGCACTGCTTCCTGCTTAATATGACAGGTGAGATGTCTCAACGACTGGAAGAAAGTGAGGCGCGTGTCAGGAGTTCCAAAGCATCGATTGTTCTTGAGCCCTTTCTTCGCAGCGATTTAGGCCGAATTGGAGGGATTTCCTACGCAGCTGTCAGTGCAACAGTTTCCCTGATTCATGAGGTATCTCAAATCCCAGAGTTCTTGGGTCGAGCATGCAGAAGCTTTCGAGCGTCCCGTGCCCTTTTTGCATGTCCGCATGTGGCAAGTCGTTTCAACAAGTACGCAGCTCTTGTCACTGCAGAGCGCCCAGGCCCAGAGCAATGCATCTCCAAAGACGACCCCAATCTACGGGCTCTGTGATGTTGCTGCACACAAAGCGAGTGCCCGCTCGTGCACGGACATGAGTTAAACTACTCAAGCATCCAACGCGCTACGCTACTGTAATTGCCGTCCCGGTTTCCCTGATGCTGAGTACCCCAGACAGGCGCGGCATGCACAGACTCAGATGATGGTCTCGGAGTACAAGGCGCACGCTTTGCAGCTGGGTCAGGCGGTTTTGCGATTGTCACACTAATAGGGTATGCACACTTGGTGATCAGTGCGTCTCCACTTAGACTCCCACTCTGGAGTATGCCGGACGATGCCATGGGAGCTTCGGGGGCACAAAGTAACTAGCCTCGGAGGCAGGACGTCTCCCCATGTCTTGTTGCCGTCAGAGTAGCCTCTTCTGTAAGCTTTGTGCAGCCGGCCATGTACTTACACATAACCTCAGTCCACTCCCGCTCCTCACCGCATCTTCTATGTTTCCACATGCCCTCAGCTGCTTTCTCGAAGGCACAGCATCAGCAAGCACAGGCCTGCAGAGCTGCTTTGGTAGAGCCAAGTCCAGTCATTCTGAGTTTCAGGTTTTTCGGTGCTAAAATCCACTGCGCACCCGGAACCTTCGAGTGCAACTTGTGACGATATGGGCGTCCCTGTTTGGGCCAAGGCTTCCGGAAGTGTGCCCCAAGGCTGCCCCATACCCAAGACCCTGTGCCCATCACAGGGAATCAAGCCTGGTCAACTAGTTGTCGTTTTCAGCCTTGCAGCGCTGCACTCTGGCGCGAAGCGTAGGACGTAGGACACCGAGAGCATTCCTGTACGTTTTAATAGTAATCCATACTGTATTCCCGGGCGGATCTACGGAAAATGTAAAGAGCAACCGCTGGAAACGGCAGTTTGTACAGCAAACAACTGATGACGAGTAGCTTGTTCCTTCAGGACATGTCAGAACACCAGGTAGAAGTTTTTGCAGGCCGTCCCTACCTGCATCGAAGCCATATTAAAAAATCAGCAGTGCTGCAGCCGATCTTGGTGCGCTCCTTCATTGCAGGAGAAAGGTTCAGATGCATGCGCATTAACTACATGCATTCAACACATTGTGACATTTGATGCTTCCGCACGGTGGCCGCAGCGAATGGGCGGCGACGCATACGACATCAGCGCGCGCACGGCCCAGAACAGCAATGTTGCACAGCTGCTGTTACTTGCCGTTGATGGCAAACATACACGTATTGAATTTGCTTCTGTGCATTAAATGATCTGCATATGTCAAGCAAAACTTGAGTCGGCAGCGTCTGTCGGCCTTTCGGCTTTGACCTCGGCAGACCCAGGGCGTCAGGGCAATTCCCGCAGAAACGACGATGGAGCGAAAGGGCCGTAACTGAGCTCTCGCGAACGCTAACTGTCCTCATCTGCTCTTTGTCCTAGTGAAACATAAGCTCCACGAAAACAAGACTCAGATGCTCGTACCCTCTAAGCCCGCTCAGGCACCAGATTTCATTATGCCGGGCACCCTCCGGGCGTCCTGGGAGGCGATCTGGGTTTTCCAAGCGCAGAAAGGGTTAAGCTATTGGCCTGCCAGGCTTTGGGAATTCTGTCAACCTTTGAAGTGCCGGATTCGACTTTGGGGTCAATGGCTCCCCCGTGCCCTGAGGCCACAACTGTTCACTGCGATCCGCCCAAGCCTTAGGTGAGAGCTCCGACTGGAGCTCGAGCATGGTTTGCGAACGTTTGCAAAACCCTCCATCAGATGATTTCGGGAGTATCGGCAGTTGCTCCGGTTCAGACTGAGCTTCAATACACGATCAGGCTTTGGACGTCGACCGCACCATCATGTCCATCACGGCCAGGGAGAGGTGCATTCCTGGAGGTCGGTAGATGCCCGTTCCGGCGGGTTCATCGCACGAAGCGATTAGAAACGACATTTGCCAAGAAGACAGCTCCCCTCCATAGCACGAAGCACCCTGAGATCCGTCACAGGCCAATTTATCTTCGAGAAGTACGGCATTTTTCAATATTCCAGGCGCTGTCGGCTTCACAGGCTTCCTACCCTATGTCGGGCTTGATGGTCCAGTTTCGGTTGCAGAGTTGGTCGACGGAGGGCTTCGAGATCGTGTGCATCCCATGAATCCGCATCCAACACCGGACAGGTATCAACAAGGGGATCGATGAGGCACGATTCTGAGAGCAGCCTTGCGTGAGCCAAGTTGTGCCTAAAAATGCATTTAGTACCTTTCGCCGCCATGGCTTCGGCACATTTCCGTCTAAGAACTTCACGAATCAGCATCAGTTCCGTGACAGAACTGCGCGGTCCAGGATCAGCGCACAGAGTATGGGGAGCCGTTCATCGGAAACACAGATGCTGGCACAGTAATCGGGCCGTTGCCTGAGCCACTGAGACCGTGGGCCGTCACAGGTCAGATTCCCACCAGCTCACGTCCAATGCAAGCGCATCTAGTTCGCGCCTGCTGGTAGTGAATGCAGGCATATCTTATGTACATGTTTAATGTACGCGGCTGCAAAATTATTACATGCAAGCATGCATGCAGGCATGAAGGCATGAAAGCATAAAGCACCTACATTCAGGTACATTACACGTGTCTGTCGATGCCAACCATGCTGTGCTGTGTGTCCACGGCTGAGGCCTGCGAACATCATGTCCATGGGCAAGAAATCACTGCAGGCAGCAAATCATGGTGGCATATGGCCGGAATAATTGAGCCTGAGACATAATCAAAACTGAAACCGGGAGCTTGAATTTATAGAGCAATGATGCCAATGATGTCAGACCAGTTGTATTTGTCTTGCGTCTATCATCCGAGTGTCTTTTCTGCAGTGGCTGGCTTCATTTTCTGTCAGAGCTCGGGGCGACTTTGATGATTGCAGAGTGATGCGCGGAGCCATCTGCAAGGGAAGAGAAAATCAGCTCCAGGCGTTCTAGATCCCTCGCAATGTGTGCGAAGAAATCCTCCAACTGCCCGCTTCGAAATGGCAGGGGTTCTTGAAGAAGCGGCTCCAGAAGGCAAGCTGCCAGTGACCGGATGCAGCAATGGTTCTTTGCTAGAGCTAGACAAGCCTCTACTCTGTCGAGGAGGACGTGGATCGCCTTCAGAGAGACAATAACTAAAGAGGTAAGCAGCAATTTAGTGGGGTGGGGAACCAGGGAAGGGACGGCGAGGCGATGGGACGCCGTTTCCACCTAGTTCACAACTGAAACCCTTGGCGTGAGGTTGCTGCTGCCGCTTGCCATGCAATTGCAAAGTAATATTATGCTAGAAGACCTGGATCAACATTGCATCGTGCTAGCTAAGGTCGTGCCTGTGTACCGCCAAGACCTTTCGCTTCTGATTGCAGACATAGAACAAAGACCCTTGCTGGACCACTCGGGAGAACATGTCCTGGCAAATTGGAACTGCATCACTGGAAAGGAGAACAGTAGCAGCACGAGTAGAAATGTCGCCTTCGTCATCGTCGTCGTCGTCGTCGTCGTCGTAGCAGTAGCACTGACAGCAGCAGCAGCAGCTGCTGCGTTTCTGCAGCTGCAGTAGCTGTGCAGCAGTAGGAGCAGGAGCAGGATTCGTCGTCGTCGAGGTCATTTGATGCAGTATGTACGCCACGCCGATCAGGTAATCCAACGTGCACTAGAAGTCGTAGCAAGCAAGATGTTAGGTGGCGGTTTGGGCCCCGATTTTTTCGTGGAGTTTCTTAAGGTTCTATCTCCCTCAACAAAACACCGACGCAATGAACAAAAATCTACACAAACATTGCCCCATGGAGACAGAACCAAAAGATGTTCGAGCGTCTGAATTTGCAGGGCATGAAGAATTGCTGCTTTTGTAGTTTTCATCGTTGATGTGTCAATGTTTAGACAGAAATGCAGCAGACACAACAATTCTGCCTCATCAGCCAGGCTGTCGTCGACGAGCTGGAAATGGATGTCAATGCTGCGGACCTCGATCCGCTCACGTGGCACACTCGGGGATCATCAGTTCCTGCCTTGCTTTTCTGAGCAGCTTGATAGGATTTCCGGAGCACGACCCCGGGGGGGTTCCGGCCCGATGAGACTCGCAGATCACTGCAGTTTGCACAGGCGCTCCCGTAGCTTCCATGAGGAATGATGAGTCCTTTGACAGTTCCATTTTGAGAGGTGTGCAGAGCGACATGCTCCATGGTTCGATGCCAGCTTAAAGTCGACCATGATGTTTCGCCGTCAAACCCAGAGCAGATCCCTCTAATGACGCTACTGTAGTGCTCCAGCCCCCACAACCTGCGCGCGCCAAGGGACAATGCAGAGGCCTACGCTGTCAGCGCTTCTCGGCCTCAACCGCCATGGGGGAATGTGCTTCGGGCCGGACGACACATCCGGATGCTTCGGAAAGACAGTGAAACAGCCTTCGACGCTTTTTTCGTAAACACTGGAGGCTGGATCAGGAGTTCAACCAAGGGGCCAAACCATGAACCCATCATTCTGCACATATTATGATGGCCACACCAGTGTTCAGTGATCCGGGTCATCCGACAAGATCCTAAAGCACAAGGGCCTGCCTTGCCGTCGTGCTTCTGTAGTACCCGGTGAAAAGATGAAGTCGTAATGGAGGCGCTTGAGCTCATCTACGTCTGCAGCTTAATGGACACGCAAACGACAGTTAACACATGGTCTTGTAGCCGTGGCGGCACCCCTAGCGTCGGAAGATACGCCGTTCCGTGCGGGCCGGAGGCGGTGTGGTGATTTAGACAATGATGACAACAACATCGGCAAAGATCACGGTGATGATAGTGACATATGGCAAACGGCGCAAACCACGGGGATAAATGTTTTCCAACCGACATGAGTAACCCAAGGCACAGACTGCAGCTTGGAAAGCCACGCGTCCGGCCCTTTGTAATTCAACACTGCGGCTGCAGCTCCTAAGCTCTGCTGCTCTGCTCGCTTCAAGTCGTGGCGTCGGCAAGTCCTCGTATAAATTCGGCTCAGCCCACTACCGGTTGTTTCGCAATTTCGCTTGGCAGCGCAGTGCAGGTACTCAAGCCTGCGAGCTCAACCCGACAGTTGCATGTCATTATGTAGCGACATTCTGCTACTACCTGTATGTCTTTCTCAATGCGCTGTATTGCGGCAAAACAAGACGCGATAGTCTGCAGCGCAAAGAAGCAGCGCAGCCGACCAAGGAGCTGCGGAGCAAAGTCTCCCACGTGAAGCAGGGCTTGACCGCCGGGTGGCCCGGAGCAAGTGCACAGAGGGAGCAAGGCTTCTAAGCCCTTTTTTCTACTATTCCTCAGGCTGCAACTAACTTCCCTGACCTCCTGCTGCTGCTACTGCTATTATGTGCAAAAGAGGAGTGGAACCACTGCAGTAGCAGTCGTCGTCGTTGTGGTAGTCTTGCAGGAGTGGGAGGAGCAGCAGGAGGAGGAGTTGGAGTGGGAGTACTGGGAGTAGGAGTAAGCAGCAGTGGCAGTAAAGGCATGAGCAGCAGAAGCAGCAGGAGTAAAGGCAGGTAGAAGCTGCAGCAGGAGTACGTGTACTCGTCATGGAATATCATGATTTTCCGAGCTCGGGCTCGGAGTCGCTGGTGGACCTCAGAGTTGCGTCCAGGCATCCCGGCCAAAGTGGACTATGCCTGGAACGCAGCCCTGCAGGTCGGCAGCTTGACAATGGGTCAATGTCATTCAGGTATGCTTCTGCCCGGTTTGAGGTCCCGGAGATCCTACAGAAGAGTCAGCCTGTATGGTCAAGGCAGTGCTAGTGCCGTTGCCAGGCAAGCACTTGAACAAGCGTTCAGGTGTATTGCGCAGAACAGCTCCTCAAACACAGGCAACCCGCATGGCACATTCACAGCGATTGGTTGTCGGCGCCTCAGCTCGCATCCTTCCCAGTTCCGTCGCTGTGCTTCCCGGGTCTTCAGTTGTTTTGGTCCGTCCTTGGTGTTATGGTGTTTGCTGGTCTTGGCTTCCAGGTGCACCTGGCCCATCGAATCGCGAAGGGTGGAAGTCTTTGCTAAGGATCAGCAGCTCAACATTACACGGCAGGATCGTGGAGTCCTCGGCTGACGAGTTAGGTTGAAGTCCGTGGGGAACACGATGAGAGCAAAATGCAGCGTTGTTCGATGGAACCTTAGCCTTCGCCCTCGGGACGAAGCTTTAGTAGCTTCATAAATTTTGACACTGCGCACAGCAGTCCTGGTAGAAGCGGCATAGCGAATCTACCAAATCTGCAAAACCTGGATCTTGAAGACAGAAGACAGAAGCTTCGGAAAGTCAAAGCATTCCAACAGCTTCCGGGATGAGGTAGGTTCATAAGCCCAAGACCTCGGGTCACCATGTCGAGTCACCGTAGAGAGCGCCTTCCCTGCAACAACATGTCCAAGTGTGTCAGCGTGTGTAGTGCCATGGAACGACAAATGCTGCCGGCAAAGGTTTTTAACCTGTAGCTCCTGGCCCGAAAGGCACACCAAAAGCTCGTCAATGGTTCTTTGAGCTCTCCCAGCAAAGCATGCTTCTGCATTGCCCGACGTGTCTGGCTCTCCAGGCTCTACCCAGTCCTGAATCTTGAAGCTCTTGACTGGTTGCCAACATGTCTGCTGGTCCGGGAGCGTTGCCGTCGATACTATCATCATTGGGCGTTCTTCCTGTTTCTTTTGCTAGTTTGCTTGCATGGCCAAGTTGATTTGTGTGGTGTGATTTCCTGCTGTTACGCTTCCTTCTTGTTAAAAACTTGACAACATTATGGAGCGATTTCTGAAGCCTTTAGACCTTGGGCTTGACGATGCTGCACCTGCTTTGACGCCTTCGGGACTTTGTGCACCTCCGCCTGTAAACGGCCACTTCCGCGACCCCCGAATCCGAGACAAGGTCGTCAGGTCAGCGCGGCCGTTGACGAGCTTGTGGGCAACATCGCGGATGCGGTGGAGCAGTGCCTTGGATGTCTCAAGATGTTACATGTAGGGATGTCCAAGTGCGACGCAAGGCTTGCTATAGCAGAAGTTTCTCTCACCCACGAGCTTTTCGAAAGCGTTGTTGCTTCAAATCTAAAACATGTCCGAAAGCTAGTGTGGCTTGAGGCTGGAAGGTGATGTGCTTGCGAAGCACCGCCCTTGCAGACTCGGAGTTTTCTACCCTGTCTACGCCGAGGAAAGACCCAGTGCAACAGGGGCCTTCCTGGCAGTTTAACGTCGACCTGGCTTTGCTGCGGAGCCTTAGTGTTGCGTCCATAATCATGTCAGGATGCACAAAAAACCTAATTAGTTGGTCATCGAGGTCGACTGCTGTCACTCAGCAGCTTTCCGCTCGAGCTATTTATCCATGCCAGGGTGGCTGTGGAAGCTGTGAAAAGAAGCCTGGCACCTACTGTGCTTCGTCAGAGCGTGCACCGTTGAGGATG